GTATGTGTTGGCCCGCGCGCGCGGCGGGCGATAAAGCCACCCCGGAGAGTTCTGTTTCCCCCCGCCGATTCAGGCGGGTAGTATAGACCAGACCTGAGAGAGGGTAGAACAATCATGTCTTGTCCTTTTCCTTAGGGACATTCCAGTATAGGCCTATAAGAGCAATTCCTTATCTGGTGCTATGGTAAAACTGTCATCTGTCCTGGGCTTGACAGCTTCCCTATTTGCTTAAGCCAAAACTTTCTTTAGAAAATGGAAGGGGCTATGGGATACTTAGCATAAGTGAGCAGGGTTCTATAACAAGCATAGGCCACTCTAGGCTATGTAACTGTTATATTGCTCTTATGTGTTTTAATACTTACTGATATATACCTATTGATAATGTGAGTTATATAAGCACTAGCCCAGCATATATTAGTCAACACACGTCTCCACTCCTGCTGGACAGAGGCAGGACACAGCAGAGGACCTGGCCCTTCATCCATCCCTAATACAGAGCATGGACGCAGCGATGCCCAGGTGAACCCAGAGGTTTCAGCTGCTCCATTACTAATGCACTAGCTCCGGCAGAAATTACACTTTGTTTCATTTTAATCCTTAGCTGGAGCCTGTTTAATTTCACTCTGACTTTGCAGCTATGTCCCTGCCACTCGTCACTACCGAGCTCCACAAGCTAGCCTGGCTGCATACAACATAATTACCTGCCGCCGCAAGCAACGCCAGCACGAGCCACATTGTCATACTTCTCTCCAGGCTGTTGGACAGAAAAGAACAAGCCCCAGCCCTCAGGTATTTATAGGGGAGCTGTTATGGAAAGGTTATTACTAATCTGCTTGCTGGAGGTTTCTCCAGGTGGGCAGCAGATGCGGCTTTCACATGAGCCACTGACAGGGTAATGAAACATGTGATAAAGTATGTCTGGCTTGTTTATTTCTGATTCTTAGCCAGATCTATTTTTCTAATACTAGACACCTCAATATGCACCATAGGAGCGGTCCAATGGCAGGTGTCTGGACTTCTGGATACCATTCCTAACAGTTGGCCTTAGTAAAAACCCAGGTTGCTACAGGGAGTGGGGTGGGAGCTCAATAGAGATGCTCTTCCCTTGCAGTCAATGCCCAAGTGCAGTGTTAGGGGTTGCTGTGCTACAGTCAGTGGGTTGGGGTCTATTAGGGGGTGCTCTCCCCACTCAGTCAGTGCTGGACCCAGTACCCTATCATGGCACTAGAGGGAGCTGTATTACACAGAGCCAGGTGGGGATGTGAATGGAGACACTCTCTCCTTGCAGTCAGTGCGGGCCCCAGTGCCCCATCATGGCAGTATGAGGCGCTGTAGGGTAGGGAACAAGGTGGGGATGTGAATGGGGGAACTCTCTCCTTGCAGTCAGTGCAGGCCCCAATACCCCAGTGTGGCAGTATGAGGCACTGTAGGGTAGGGAACAAGGTGGGGATGTGAATGGGGGCACTCTCTCCTTGCAGTCAGTGCAGGCCCCAATACCCCAGTGTGGCAGTAGGGGGCACTGTGCTGCTGGAAGTACCATTTTCGGGCTGGGACATGTTACCCTGGCCATGGATTCTGTGGTTGCTGAAGACCCCATGCCATCAGCTGTGAGAGGTCGCTCTTAAGCCCCCTGTCCTGGCAAATCCCAATAAGCTTTGAGAGAGGAATGCAGTGTGCACCTGGAGAAAGTTGTGAGAATGGCAGGGTTGTTGCCTCATGGCTCCCTTTCTGTAGGAGGTCTTGCTAAGGTTGTGCCTGCACTGGGCCATTGGGGACCTTGGCTCTTCTCCAGTACAGACAAGGCTATGGAGCAGGGGAAGCTCCTTAGTGGCTGGCTGCTTAGACTGTGAGCTCTGGGTCAGGGTCTGTCTCTTGTGTGTACAGCCAGGGGTGTGATGGGGCCCCGACCCCAGACTGGGAAAGTCAGCCATGCCCATGGTACAGTAACCTGAACCTGCTGGACTCTCCAGATGCCGCGGGCAGAGCTGTCCCAGCAGTGAATTACAGACTTGCTTTCCTAGTGTTTAACTAGTGGTGCTATTGGCGATGAGGGACAGGCTACACAGCTCTACAGCCAAAATGCTTCTGAAATAAATGTAGTCAAACTTTACTAA